TATTATACTATATGACTATGTGAGTATATGAAAAAGAATATAGGTACATGCAAGTTATATCGAAAGGAGTTGTGTAACCATGCTTGATATGTATTACATGTATGGGAATATAAGAGAATAAAGCATAAACTATATGAAAAGATATTATTCATGTGATGTGAACCATGTGAACATATGAGAAAGTGTATAAGTTATATGTATTACATGATATATGTGATTTTACAAGAAATGACATGAGCTATGTGATTACATGATTATAAGAGATCAGACATGTGATAAAAGATAATTAATATGCATGTGTGAATATGAAATGATATAAATGACAATGCCCATGTTATGTGTCATGAGAGCTAGGGGTATAGTTGGCATGCCAAGAGTCGAAGGTCTATGTGGTCCTTCGGGACATATATGTATTCTTTGGAACATGTGTGAAGTCTGGTGAGACACATACTTGATTCTTGGTATATGTATATGATTCTTAAGGAATGATATGTGGTCCTTCGGGACATATATGTATTCTTTGGAACATGTGTGAAGTCTGGTGAGACACATACTTGATCCTTGGCATATGTATATGATTCTTAAGGAATGATATGTGGTCCTTCGGGACATATATGTATTCTTTGGAACATGTGTGAAGTCTGGTGAGACACATACTTGATCCCTAGTATATGTATATGATTCTTAAGGAATGATATGTGGTCCTTATGGACATTATTATATGGCACTACGGTGTAATTCTACGCGGCACTACGGTGCAATTCTATGTGGCACTTTGGTGCATTTATATGAGCTGTGGTGACAGCATTAGTGCACAACCTCCATAAACTCACATATCTATAGTTCTCACATATGTACATGGGCTAATCAAGAGATATAAACAAATATATGTTAGTGGTATGATAAATGTTATAGAAATGATATGATGTTGTGTATGTATAGTGTTTGATTGAAAAGGTTAAGCATAAAAGTAGGTGATTACATGATAAACTGTTAATGATGAGTTATGTGTATGTATGTATTTACTGTAATTAATCTGATATGATTTTATATGATACGAAGAAAGCATGTAATTTGGTATAACATGATAGAACAGAACATGCATGTATTGATATATGTTATAAAGTGCATTATAAATTTTTTTATGCCTCACTAAGTCTTCGACTTAGCGTGTGATTGTTTCACACGTAGGGTACAGAAGCAAGAAGAGAAGAGAAGAAGAGTAAGACATGTCAGCACCTCCCTTACAAAATTTCAGATCAGAAAATAGAGGATTTAAATGTTTTTGGTTATTTTGAGTATAGTTGGCATGTACTAATTGGTTGAATTAAATATGCTCTGATTGATTTTGGTTATTGTGGTCAGTTTATGTAACTAAACCTCTTTTACTTTAATGAAATGTTTTAAAAATTCTTTGAATTTTATCAAGAGTCAAAGTTTGAAAAGTCAATGTGACACCTCAGACTCGTATCCGGGTCGGGTACGGGTTGGGGTGTTACATACATAGTCGTTGTTCGAGGGACTCAACAGAGGACGTTGTAGTCGTGATTCACAAAGGAACATTAGGTTAGGATCTTGTCGAGTGATTAAATTCTCCAACGTTTGAATTATACGAGGGTTCCCAAGCCCTAATATTTTGAATCTAGATAAACGATCATGAGAGAAGATAAATGAGTGATATAAAGAAATGAATCAATTTTGGAGAAAAGAGACATGGAACCAAATTACCTAAGTGGTTAAATGTACATGTGTTCAAATTCAAGTACCATAAACTTTGGGGTCATAAAAACTCAGCTCGTGTCTTGATCAATAAGAGGCGGGTACACACAAATCGAGTACCCATAAAATCTAGGCACCTACATTTTTAGGTCACGAGTACCCGATTAATATTTATTTTATTTTATTATATGATTTATATTCTTTTTTTTTAAAAAAAAATCCACATAAAATTTAAAATTTTTAATGCATATTATAAACATAAAATTTATAAATACAAATTATATAATCTAAATATTGAAATAATTTAAATGTTAAGGTGGTATGATTTGAAAAAATAAAGATTGAAAATGTTATAATTTTAAAATTAGAGATAAAAAGTCTAATTTAAAATAAAAAAATAAAAAAATAAAAAAAGAGAAATCAACTCAGTGGGTCGACGAGTACCCGGTTAAGAGTAATTTTGTGACCCAGGCTCGACCCAAAAAAAAACAAAAAATAATTAGGCCTGTAAATGAACTGAACGTTCAGCGAACCGTTCATGAACCGTGCGGCGGAAAGTTTGTTTATGTGCGTTTTTTTATTAAATGAACGAACATGAATAATATTTTTTGTTCGTTTAATTAAATGAACGAACATGAACATATGTCTCGTTCGTTCATTTACGTTCGTGAACGTTCAGTTATGTTCGTTTATGTTCGTTCAGTTATGTTCGTTTATGTTCGTTCATTTATGTTTAACCCAATCTTCTTAAATCAATTTTGGTGACCAATTTGTAAGCATCTTAAAAATATTAATTAATTTGATATTCTGATGACCAACTCTATAATTAACCCAATTTTATTTGGAGATTAAATCCAATATGTTAACCTATGAGGCACCTCGCAGTTATATTAATTTTCCCCCTTTTCCCCCCAAACCCTAGTCTTCACTAGAGAGTGGAAACGATCGATGAAAGCTTCAAAACAAGTTATATTATAGTACAATCTGAAGTTTTACAGGTTTGTTTTCATCTCTTTCTCTGTTTTATATGGCTTAATAGTTGATATGTAAAGTTATTGTCGATATCTTCACATCTAAAACTCAATAAAACATCATACTTCTTTCTAGAAATAGATAGGAAGATAAAGGTAACAATCGGAGGTATATGAGCATCAGTAAAGAGAAAAATATATAGAATTTGCCAGAAAACAAAACAAATGTTTCTATGCAATTTTTGAAAAAGAGTGTAATAGCAGAAGTAATAGATTTTTCAGGAAGAACCCATTAATAAGTAGAAAATACAATTTGGCAATGAACTTTTGTTTTCATAGTTCTTGTGTGACTTTTAGTTGAGGAGTAGACTTTAGGTACGTTAAAATTTTGAATGATGGTTTAGCAATAATATTAGTTACGATATATAGCATTGGAGGGATTTCGGATCTATGTTATTGCCTTGTAGTCCAATTTGTACCGTTCGAAATCTTCATGCTGTTAAATTTTCTACTCTACCAACGGAAATGATCATTATTAACAAATCTCACTAAAGCCTGATATTGATGTCACAAAACTTTTAGCCGATGAATTTATTAGAATAACGTAGTGGAAAATGATTGTTCATATGTAATCATGGACCACTAAGATAAATGTTATAGCGTTAAATTAAAGTCGTGTGAATCATTTAATATCTTTAAAAGATCGATCGAAATATCTGATATCTTCAAACATTTCATCACTGCTAATCAGCTCTTACGCTATTTATCACTGTAGATTTGGTTGATTTACATTGTCAACTATTTTTCATGAAAGAACAATAGAAGGTAGGGTTTCCAACGTTTATGTTCGTGTTCATTTATGTTCGTGTTCATTTATGTTCGTGTTCGTTTATGTTCGTTTATTTATTAAATGAACAAACATGAACAAGTTATATTCCTTAATGAATGAACATGAACAAAAAAAAAATTTGTTCGTTTATGTTCGTATTCGTTTATGTTCGTTTATTTATTAAATGAACGAACATGAACATACCTCCGTTCGTGTGCGTTCGGTTCGTTTACAGGCCTAAAAATAATAGGTCGGGTACCCCCTATAAAATAAGGTATTTATCTCTAAAATACATGATAACTTCATACCAGGTTGGAGGTTCGAATAATTCGGGTCAGGTATTTTTGAATACTCCTAATTAAAAGAATGATTATTGTTCCTATAGTTATCGAGTTCGAACACCATTAACTACAGCTAAGATGATTGAGTCATTGTTAATTAGTTGAAAATAAAAAAGATATTTATTGTTTTATAATTACGTTAATTTAATAAAAAAAATTAAATAAAAGATGAATAGATGAGATTTTAGGAAAGATATTGTTGCTTTTTTTCATACGAGCAAGAGATTTGGAAAAAAAAAAAACAAACTGGTGAGAGAGAAGAATGCATTTAAGACGTGAAAATAAATAAATATTTTTAATATAAAACATGATTCCCAAATTTCGAATAATAAAGATTACTTAATATAATAAATATTTTACATTTAAATAGTATTCTCAATATATTCTAAAAGTTATTTAAATTAGGCAAAAGAGTGACTTTTGTCATGTAATAGACTTAATTTATATTTTTGTCCCTATGGTAATTTTTGTATCAATTTAATATTTAAAGTTGTTCGATTACATCATTCTATGCTCTAACTCTAATTTAGAATCCTAAATTTTAAACAATAAACTCTAAACCATACTACCCTAACCTCCAAATCACAAACCCTAACTGAAAACTCCAAACAATATTAAATATTTTAAATATCGATGCAATTGAGCAACTTTAAGAATTAAATTGACGCAAAAAATTGATAAGGGCGGAAATGATAAATTGGTCTATTACAAGGATAAAATTGACCATTTCACCTTTAAATTATAATGTTAAAAAATTTAAATATCAGAATCTTAAATTTTATCCATTTTTTTTGCTACATGTAATTGATATGTTTATGTACTATACATTGTTAACTTAAATAGAACGTTGTTAACTTAATTTAAGGAGAATCTTCAACGTCATACGAGATCACGTATAAACCTCAGGGATTTTGTCGCCTCTTTGACGCTTTGGTTTCCCTCCAACTTGCACTATAAATATGGGTTTACCCAAAACTTGATTCCATTTCTTAAAAATCCCGTCTCTGTAATCTCTTCGATGGCTTTTTGGGGTTAGTTTCTTATACCCTTTGCTTTCTTCTTCTTTATGATCTATTTTCTTTTCTTCTTCTTTTTCTTGTAAAAGTGAAGTCACTGTTAACATTTTCCAGGAACCGAAGTGAAACCTGGAAAGCCCTTCACTCATGCACCTCTCAATGCAAGGCTTCATTTATCCCAGGTACTTGTGTTAATTCTTGTTTTTCAATTATCCGAAATCAAAATCTTTAAAAGGAAGTACATGAATATGTTTTTGTCAGGCGACATTAGGAATGGGTAACGGAGTACAGAAAAGCATAGTTCAATGTAATGTGGGAAATAGTAGGCCGGTATTTCTCTGTAGTTTGTTCCCTGATTTGGCAGACTGTTGTCAACTCAATTTGGAATTTGAGGAATCTGATGAAGTCGTTTTCTCTGTTATTGGCCCTCGAACTGTTCATCTTACCGGTTACTATCTGGGCCCTGCTTCCCTTGATCATCATCGCAGTGATGAATCGTATCCTTTTGTTTTTAAGTTTCCGGATTTACTTCATGTTATTGGGTTCCCTTAACCATGTTGCTTAGAGAACCCTATGGGGAATATATTGCAGATACTGAACCCGAAAGGAGCAAGAGTAGTGAAGAAAGTGAGTATGGTGGTAGTTTTATTGATGATGATGATGATCCACAAGCCTTCTCATCTCCTGAAGAATTTCCTACTGGGTTAGGATGTATGTCTCGCCACATCTCTTACATGGAAATTTTGACCATTTGTTTTCTAATTTAAATGCCTTTTTTCGTGTCTTACTTCAGCAAATGAAGAACAGCAGGGCTTAAAGTTGAAGGGTCGAAGAGGAAAGCATAGGAGACTTAGGAAGAAGTACCAGAAAATTGAATCTGATAATGGAAGTTCTCAGAAAAGGGATTTCACCAATGCTGTTGCTCCCAGGGAGCTATTGAACAGTGAAACTGAAGATGCTTTGCCTCTATCCTCACTGTTTTCAGTAAAATGCACATCAAAGAGTGGAAAAGACGATAAAGGGGGAGAAGTTAGTAGGAAAGAAACTGGTAACTGTAAAAACAATGAGACTGAAGATAATGCTACCGTGTTAAAAGGAATCAATGGTGTTCAGCTTGAACGGTATGATTGCTGTATTTCTTTGATAAAAACAGATAAGCATATCAAACAATAATGAACTACAAATGCAATAGCTAAGTTAACCTACTAACATCTAGGGTTGTTTGCTTCTTGAATCATTGTTTTTGACTTACATTTGTTTGTGTTGTACTTTTTTCATTCCTTATTGCTTGCAGTGAATCTGGGATTAGGAATGTAGATAACCTCGAAGAGCTTGTAAAGGAAGAGAAACTATCGGAAGCTGATCATTGTGTGGTTGAAGAAGTGATGATGGAGCAAAATGATCAAAATCAGAAACTGGCCAGTAATGAGTGCGTGATATTATCTCTTTAGAGAATTATATGTTCCATGAAATCTGTGCTTCCATGCTCATTGACTTAGTTGTGTCAGTTGTAGCAACCGTCTTCTTAGTAACAATTGCTATCTGATATACTGCAGGAAATGTCAATCTGATAATCTGTTGTTGACACCCAGTCAAGTGGGTACCGACGATGAAGCCAAGCTAAATTTGAATCCTGTGATTGAGGATGTACCTATGGAGGATAAGGAAACCCAAAATCAAGTTAATGATGAGTAGGTGTTTTTCATTTGATTTGCATGACTATGAGCATACCTGATGAAATTGTTTTCTTGTTCCAATCATTTTCATTTGCAATTTTTTGGAGACTTAAATGGTGATGTTCACTTTGTTTTTCTTTTCTTAAAGTCATTCTAAGAAGAGGAAAAAGAAGAGAAGGTGTAAGGATGAGGGAGAAGAGGATGCTACGAAGATGGAACCACCTGTCTTATCATCTCCTACAAAGGAGCAATCTGTTGTGGACTCGAAAGACAAGAATACTAATGACCAGGAAATTCAGCTGTCGAATGGAATTATCATTGAAGAGTTGGAAATGGGAAAACCAGATGGGAAAATAGCTTCTCTTGGTAAAAAGGCATGTAGTATTTTATCCATGGTGGTTTTTTGGATTAAAGGAATTTGTATCTTCCAAATTGTGCTAAATTAAATGAGATTATTCACAAAGATTTCTTGCAATCAGGTCCGTTTCCATTACACCGTAAAGTTGAAGGACAGTGGGGAAGTAATTGATTCAAGTGCTGACAAAGGTCACTTAACGTTCCGACTAGGTAACATCTTTTGTTAAATCATTCATGCTCTGTATATATATATATTTGGTTTTAAAGTTTTTAGTTGGAGTTATAGCTTTGTTGCTATTACAGCTGAGGGAAAAGTTCCAGAGCTATGGAAGGTTGGCCTTGATGGTATGAACTCCTGCTTATCACTAACTTATCGGCGTTTGAAGTATATATGGTAATGGTTTAAATAAAAAATGTTGATTTGTAGGAATGCGAGTCGGTGGCAAACGTAGACTCACAGTTCCACCATCAGTGAGGTACGTGAAAACAGTACCCGAAGCTCGTTTCTGTATGGTCTTGAGTTTTGTTTGGTTTGTTTTTGCAGCTGCACAAAGGAAGGAACAAGTGAGGATATTCCACCAAACTCGTGGCTGGTTTTTGAAGTTGAATTGTTAAAAGTCAGGTAATCGGTTGGCTTCATACGCCAGTTTTGTTGAGTGAATGACCTTTTGGAGATACATCTCAGAGTTTAACTTTTTGGTTTTGGGCTGGTTTTTGAAGATGAATGGTTAAAAGCTAGGAATCTTCATTTTGTCATGTCATTGAACATGGGAATATGAACAAGTTTGTTAAAGGTGCATTTGTATTTTGAACCCATCAACTTTCATGATAGTAATGAACCCTTTTTTATCCACTATTACTTTTGATTCATTATTTTGATTTAATGGTCTTCAATGTTTTCATTCATGGAGTATTATAACTGTATGAACTGAGTGTTCTCAGTGATAAAGAAATTATTGTTATTGTTTGAGCTTGATTTTAAAAAGTACGCCCGGCAGCTAGGCACTGAAGATGGCGTCGGGCACATCGCCTTTGCGTCTTTCAGATTTTTTTTAAAGATATTAATAGGAAGTATAACAGATTAAAGAAGAAAGAAGAAGATAAAAAAAATTGCAATAGTAATAATGGAAGAATACGGTTGAAAAATACTAGAAAACTCTTTCTTTTATCATATTTTCTCATTTCTTAACCCTAACATTTGACCCATTAACAAGTCCAACCCTATAGCCCAGATTTATAGTCCAACTATAATATTTATTTATTTATAATAAACTATTATAACTTCTCCCACGCTTTGTTTGCTTTTAACCCAAAGTATATGTTGCTTTTAGAAGTTTAGTTATTTAATAATACATAATTAATTTTAATTTTTAAAAATAATAAAATATTAAATTAAACATTAATTACTTAATAAATTTTATTAAATATAAAAATTATTTTTTATAATAATTACGACTTTTAAAAACATTAAGCATAAATCAATAACAGTGTATATTTTAATGAAATGATAAAATAATAGTTTTAAATATTAAAACTTTAAGTATAAATCAATACATTGTAGACAAGTATTTTAGGAGTTAATCGGTGGGTAATGAGTATAAATATACTCATACAATTAATTTATAAACCTTTTAGCATATATACATTTATAATATTATTTTAAGTATAAAATATGTTCTACAACTAATTTATAGGTTTTTTAGTATAAAAATGTGTTTTAAAACCAAGTATTTGAGGCATCAGGTTCGAGTATTCAATATATTTGTTAAATGTTCAAACCCTGACTTTTTTAATGAAGAAAATTAGGTTTGGAGGGTCAACTTCGCCTCTGTAGTACCTAAATTGAATTAATCGGTCAATAGATCGAATACTAGTAATTAATTAAAAAATAATTTTGTATTTTGTGATTTAAGAGTTAAATATAAATTATTATTGTTATGATTTAAATGTTAAATTTAAATTATATTGATTTATTTTGTTAAAATATATTATATTATTTAAATTATTTAGTTAATATAAATAATTATTTGTTAATATTATTTAACATATTGATATCAATATATTTTATTAATCAATAAAATTTAATTTAAATATTTTTGATGATATACTTTTAATATAAATATATCTTTAATATTTTAATTATAATTTAATATTTGTATTTGGATTGATAGTAGTTTAACTCTTAATGAGATTGAAAATAATTGTGACAGTGACATTAGTTACTCTAACAATGAAATTAGTTAAAAGATGAGATTAAAATCAGTGGCGGCATAGTGCTTAGATCCAATCGCAATGGTGAAATAAGATTACATTAAAAAACGATCATGATAGACATTAGTTTACAATGTGTTAATAGTTTAACAAAAAAAATAGTTATATTATATTAAATAATAAAATATTTTGGAAGCATTTTAAGAGTCAAATCATATATTATATTATTTTTACATAATAATTGAAAGTTGTTCAAAATTTATAATAAAATCGGTATAAAAATAAAGGGTAAATTACGAATTTGACAACTGAACTTTCACGCGATTCCTATTTTACTCACCATACTTTCAAAATTTTTAATTTGCTCATTGAACTTTATATATTGAACTTTTTTGGTCACTCATCCTTTAAATAATTAACGGTGTTATGACGTGAAAATTTATACCAAAACGACGTAATTTTAGATATCTAAAATATTTTTATTTAGACCAAAACGATGTTGTTTTAGTCTAAATAAAAAAGTATATTTCCTTTTTCCTTCATTTTCCCTTTTCTTTCTATATTCTTCTTCATCCTCTCATTTTCATTTTCTCTACTGTGGAAGCTGTAGAAGCATGCAAGGAAAATCAAAAACGATTTTTTAGTATTTTCATCCTCTTTATTTTTTTTCTCTTTTACCTCTTTATTCTTCTTCTTCATCTACTTTATTTTTTTTTTGGTATTTTCATTTTTGGATTTCAGAGAGAGAACAAAAACAATTTAGTGTGATTTTTTTTGTTATTGGAACAAGTTTATAAGATTTCCATTGGAATTGCTTGTAGATTTTGAAGGCTGCCTGATTAATTTCAGATTGAGTTACGGTTTGGTATATGATTTTGGGTGTAAATTTGGGGGTTAGGATTTTTTTGCCTGATTAATTTTTATTTTATTAAATAGAAATCTTATGTGACTAAGTTTTAATATTAAAATAAGCCACGCCAATGAGCTGTTAGTGATATAATGGTAGAATGACAAAAAAGTTCAATGTATAAAGTTCATTAAGCAAATTGAAAATTTTAAAAGTAAGATGAGTGAAATAGGAATTGCGTAAAAGTTCAGTTATCCAATTTTTAATTTACTCAAAAATAAAAATAACTACATTTTATTAATATAAAAAAGTTGTAATGACCTGAAAACTTATACCAAAATGACGTAATTTTGTATCTCTAAAACATTTAAATTTTGACCAAAATATTTATTTCAAATGAAAGTAGATTTCGTGTATATGCATGAACACACTTTAATTCCTAACATAAATGAATCAAAAACCAAAACGAAACTTTCTCTCGCCTTGAACATAACCCACGACTGGATGAAGAAAGCATTAAGAAAATCTTGAATTTTCTATGCATTAATAACCTATACACTTGTAATTAAAAGATTAAAAATGAATTGAAAATTCATTTCTTGAAAAATGACCAAATTGCCTTTAATGAATCCTTTATTTTCATCCATGCCATACTTTGAATTCTAATTTAATATTTTAAAATGAAAATGAAAAATCCTTTTTGAAAAATTTCAAATTTTCCCTCTAAATTTCCAAAAATTCAATTTAATCCTAAAGTTCCACTGGTTCCCTAAAACGTGGAAAATCCTTTTAACCTGACTAATACACTTCGATTTCCTCACATTAAAAATATCTACACAACATTTCTAACCTCATACTACCATCCTTCAATTTTTGTAAATTTTTAATTTGATCTGGATATCCGATTATTTATCGAACTTTACCGATAAATAGCTTTTTCTATAAATCCCGGATAAAAATCTGACATACACGAAAATCCTTCTTTTAAGTTAAAATATCCATTTAAGGGACCAAAATTTATAACTTTTTAATTACACTTTAAGTCCCTAAACTCTTCAAAATTTATACTTTGGCTATTAAACTTTCAAAACTTATATTTTGGTAACTATCCAAAATTTGGGGTATTACAATTATAATTTATTTTATGAAATCTTATTTATTTTTACAAATTTATAATGATTATCTGATGATACATGTTATAACCTAAAAATTTTATGATTTTTATTAATATGAATTATTGTAATCTCCGAGATTTAGTCGTAATGTCCAGACTGGGTCTAGGAGGTTACATTATTTATACATACACTACGACTAAATCTTGTAGGTCACAACCGATATCAAAACGTTTTTTTAACAAATCATCATATTAATATGGTCTAAAACAAATAATAATATACATAAAAGATTTAAGTAATATGAAATTCCAAATCAAACTACATATCAAAATAACTCATACATCAATAGTAAAAGTGTTATGCATGTCATAAAATTTCATATCTCAAAATGTAGGCACAAGTCACCTAAGTAAAGTTAATTTGGAAGATAGAAACATTACAACAAAAGTACTATACAAAATGTGTTGATCCTCCAAATGTTAAGTCTCAAGTGTTTATTCAAAAAATATATGAAAGGGAAATTTTAAGGGAGTGAACTAAAGAGATTAGTATGTTTAAATAAGTGTAAAATAAACATACAAATAGTTACAAAATAGTTACAAAATTATTTAAGTAGAGTTCTAAAAAAATGTCAACAAAGTTTTTAGTTAAATAACCTAATTATCCTCCAACCTCACACCGATATGTAATTACACATAACTGCATCCATAAGGATTTACCATAGCCAAAGTGTAAGCATCTACTGTTAGTATTCCTTCCTTAGGTATATTGTATGAGCATGATATTTTGATTATTGAATATTTTATTATCATTTGCGTGCATTCTTTTAAAATTTTTAAATAATATTTTTAATTATTCTACATATCCATAATCAATTATTATTTTGAGAACAATAATAAAATAAGATTGTATGATATTTGATAGATATTCATGAGATGAATATGTGAATCAGATTCAAATCAAATTCACATGTATTTATTGAGAACAAATATTTGATTGAATTGTTTTAAGATTAATACATGGATTAAAGTTATATATTAATTTCAAATAGTTATATCATTAAATATTTATACCTAAAATGACTACAATTCTCAATATGATAATTATTATGTTTTAACATAATCAAACATTGTCTTTAATCAGATGATTGTAAAGGTTATGCTTAAACATGACAAGAACCATATAATGAGATGCGAGTGATTAAGATGAAATTTATCTCAATTATCATAGGAGAGATATCTCAGGTCCCTTCGATGATTGAGACTGAGAAGTACATGGTCGTGCTCAAATGAGTTGATAGAGATATATGGAATTTGTATAGTCAGTTCAATTGGGCATCGATAAATTGAAGATGCAGCGATATAAGGTTGACATTTTTCATGCCTTATATTCTACCAAGATATCGCGAGATAAGAGGATTATGACATGAGATGTGTTAAGGTTGGCTTGAATCATGAGCTTTTCATTTAACTTGGGCAGTCA